TAAGCGAATGTTATGTACCTATAATGATAATAATACTAAAAGTTATATCTTGATATCAAAATCTCTAATAGCATCAATATAAATTAGCAAATTAAGTTTTAATCAACAATCAGTACGAGATTAAGCAAGATCATATTAATAATCAGCTATTCATATTATAACGTTAGACACATCGCAACAATATATTAGAACTCATGGAGTTTTTCTTTCTGCTTAAATGTAATGACAATCGTCGTCACCATATACAAATAGTTCCCTTAGTTCAAGTCTCAAACAAGAACAAAATGAAATGTATAATTTCATTTATTTGTTTTTTTCTTAGTGTGTTAACATCGATCCAATCATTAACGTTCCTAATTGTTCTGATCTCGGAGATTAACAATATCTTTCTTTTTTTCTGCTTTCTTGTCTTTTTGCCTTATATAAACGATATCTAAACAACAATAAAATTTCTACATATTACATTTTTATTTTATAAGAGTACGTCAAACATTAAGATGCTGTTATATACTCTATTTGAGACTGTTGATTATTATAGTATGTTGAATAGGCAATAAAGATTAGGTTACTTTCTACAATTCAATAGTTTCATGATATGTCTTCGTCGTTTTATTCTTTTACAATTAAAATGTCATTGGCCCTTTTCTTTACGGTTTTGTAAAATTCGTCAAAGAGTACGGTTCTAAAATTTACGATTCTCATTTTAAAGATCAAAAGTATTTGTCTGGCTTTTCGTCTCATTTTATAGATAAATATGTAGTAATAAAATAGTATTTCCACAGATGACTTTTTTTATTTCTTTGGTGTTGCAGATTTTATTACTTATATATAGAGATACAGATTTAAAATCTTGTGCTAGTTTCATATTCGAGTAAGTCAAAACTGTTTATTAAAAATCCTTTTCATTTAATTTTTGATCAGTTATGTAGAAAAAAATAATTGAAAAGGCGTATAAGTTCGAATAAAACATGTGGTATTAATTCGATGTCGTTCGTCGTGTATAGTTTAATTTTTAGAAAATAAAATGCCCACATAAAATGACCGTTGTATATAACTTCATAACCTATCGTGTTTCGACTCAAAAGTGATTTTCTTAATTAGGAATGTAAAGATATCGTCATCAAGAATACACTCTGACCAGCAGATATAGCTCAGACGTAAGTTACTTGTTCATCGATAATAAATTCTTCCGTTCTAACCTTCATCATCGCACTTGTCGCATATATCGTCAGTCAATAAATCACTTACTCTGTACTATGTCTCCAGGAAAGAGCTGACCGTCGCGTGTTTGTGATGGTGCCGCAGCGCAAATCTGCGAGAAGATATTTCTTTTTTTTCGCAAATTTCTCCAAACGCGTTCAAACGCATATTCTGCAGTGTACGCGTCTGGATGCGTTCGACTCTAAGACGCGCTCGAACGTACGTATCAGATGTTTCATTTTGGATGCGTTCAAACGCGCTTTGTTACAGCGTTTCGAACGCATTCACAACGCGCTTTAAAACGCGTTTAGACCCGATAAATTTTCACATGGGAAGACTCTATGATTACATTGCATACTTGATATCTTTGTTCAAACATAAAAGTTTGCTCTGCAAATAACAAACATTGGCCGTCACGTTGGTTGCATGATTGTTTTGAGTTTCTTCTAAAGATGCAACTATGACAGACAAGATAGATAAACAGAAAAGTTTATTACCAACGGAACAAAAACTAGCATAAGGCAACTTTTATTATTGATGTCATCGATTTTTTTCCTCTGTTCATGTCTGTATAATGAGTGAAAATGCGACGATAAAATATGTAAACAAAGGACTACTGAGGAAACGTAATGTTACATTTTTCTTCATTTCTTTCCATATGACTGCATATCATGAAGAGTTTTTTGTCACTGTCTAATTATCTATCTTCTTAAATCGTGTTAATGAGTTGGGATCAATCAAACTGTATTAAAAAATGAATTCAATGCTGTTTATTATATTATATTCATTCAGTTGCTCTTCATGGCCATTGATTCACAAGTATCTAATGTTGCGAAAATCTATTGACTGGATATGATAAGCTTCATATTGAAAAGATTGTTAAAAATCGAATGAATGCTGAAGAGTTAGTTCTCTAGAGCATTCAGTCTTTTAGTGTAAAAAAGAAACCTTTGAAAATTTGTCATAATGTAAAGAGAAGTTTTCCATAAGCATTGTTATTTTGCAGATGTTTACATTGTCACCGTATACGATGAGACTATGATTCATATATGACAAACAAACGCAGCCATATACCATCACCTGAACTTGGCCGTAAAGACGCCGTACACGAGCACTGTAAAAAAAGCATGTGAGTGATGCAAATGATACAAATTTTTGCAGTGATTTTGGTTTAGGAAAAAAATGCGATACAATATGATAAATGTTCTATCATAGATAAATTTGATTTCTCGCATAGTGCTCAGCTAACACACTATAATGAAATGTGTCGTGATATATTAGCTAATCATTCATTCACCATTGTTCTTTGTGCATACAACGACATATAACTAAGGCGACCAATTGCCTAGCCATAAGGCAATCGTTCATAAATTGTTCTGAAATGACACCAAGTATTCAATACCGTCAAATCTTGGTATACACATATATATACAAAGACTCAAGTGATGCCATGTTAGTACATAGTATATTGTTGTGACCTAATTAAATGATTCAGAAAGATCAACTGATTATTTTGTTTTTCATTAAACCGATGTTCACAATGATGACAATTCGGTGGTATTTTCTTTTGTCAAAATACGCGCTATCCCACTTAAATTTGCTATTGGTTATATTTGTGCTTATTTATGCTTTTTGACGTCATATATTCAAATATTTGAAAGCTGAAGAGTATATTTGTGAAGCAGTACAAAAAGGTGAACGAGCTCGCATCTCAGTTAGAAGTAACCAACTTCTCTTCAATAAGCATCGGTGTTTATGATGGCAATAAGTTTTAAAAATGTGTAGCTCAATTGGTTTTTAGTTGTCCATTACTGTCTACTCCTCAAAATAATTTACCTGAGAAACGGCCCATGACTTAAAAGTTCCTAGCTACGCCACTGTAGGCGACGTAACATACTGAACTTATGCATTTTCGCACATCTCTTTTTCTGCATTATTTTTCGGTTAACATTTACTAAGGAACATGTTGAGAGATCGATCAATGATCGAGATTGAACCACCTTGAACTAGGGACCTGATCCGGATCGAATCGAGTCGACGCGATTGGATCTTAGGATTTCGTCGTCTCGTATTTCAAGAGTATGCACTAATAATTTCGATTAAATCAAAACAATAGTAATTTGATTTCCTAAAAGAAAAAAGATCACCTGTCGAAGAGTAGATTCGAACCACTTTTCCAAAATATTTCGCAAGTTTGCCTGAAGAAATGTATCAAAACTAGCGTCTCGTGTCACAAAATACAACACATGTGACATTTGTTTTATGAGTGTGAGTGCATACTGTTTGTGATTATACAGTGGCAAGAAAAAATTAAAAGCGAAAGAACTCTGAATTCATTTTTGGATGTGAATATTCTCTTTATCAACACGAACACCCACAGCCGCAAGGTTTTCAATCAAAATTCATATCTAACATAGAATGTATTAGAATGTGTGATTTTATCAGTAAAATATTTCTGACAGCCAAAATGACAAAGCAGATAAGATAACATTGAATTTTATGAGGGCATACGGACGATTTTACTTGTCATGAGTCTCTCCTTTTTGGGATCTTCGCCGTCTTTCAAGCTTTAAGGTAATAAAAAATAAAGACAATATAAAAAGCTAGCCACCAATTTATTCGATAAGCTGATTTTGTCCATTACAGCTGAAAGAATATCTAACCATTAATAATGAATCATATAGATGATTAAACGATAAATCGATTTTTTCGATGATCAACATTCGTAGCTTTGCGCCGCCTTTCGCAATCGAGTGGGTCTCGAATGCTACGTGTAGTTATTGTTTTACGTATCAACTCAAACTTTTCCAAGCGATTTTTCAGTATATGCAATGTGAACTTAGCGGACATTAAATACTCATTATATATTGAAACTTCTGAAGTTCATTGTTTAACACCTTTAGATAACTTGGTTTATTCTTGTTCGGTAGCATATTAATCTAGTGAATTGCTCATATATAAAATATTCTTTTGGTGAATATTTGATATATTCTTCAGTGATGGATTTCGGTACAATTCGACCTTCACTGGAGATACGTAGAACCATGAGAAAAAATCTTGCCAGAACTGGAACTCAAGTGTACAGGAAAATATTCTCTAGTTTTAAGAAAATTATCTTCTAAATGATATGAATCAGAACATAATTCAAGAGAGATTACCCAAAAAATTCTAATTGTCGACTAAATAAATAAAAAACAGAGTATTGAAGAATTACTTTAGATGTGATACGAATAAAACCCCGAATTTAAATATGTTCATGTGCTGATTTACACGTTAGTTAACGGATGCGTTCAATAGGAAGTTTTTTCCTATAAATATAGGCGCAGTGACTGTCACTTTGATTGAATATCGTCATTTTGTTTAAAAAAAATGAAGGAAAAGAACAAAAAATAACCTTGAAGTTTGTAATGAGTCAAACTTATTATTCACGCGGATTGTTCTCTAACGATTCCCTTCTTCATTCCTGACTTTTGGAAAAAAATTCTCATTAGAAAAAAAAAAAAAGAAAAAATATTGTTCTTCTATGTTTTCTCTTATACTGCACAAGTTTCTTTTTTCATTATTCTCTGACAAATAAAAGTGTGCAAAAGCAGTTATTATTTTATTATGAAATATTAAAATACATTATTCAACTATTTAGAACGTAATCTCAAGTTATTCTTGTTTCATTAAACTATCGTGTGCGTCATTGTTAATAGAACTATTTTAAGTCGTGCCAGAACGTATTTAATTTCTTTATCAAGATAAAGTAAACCATATATTCATCAATATGTATTAATCGATTATAAGACAATTGAAAATTAAATAAATTTAGTTCCATGTTCATCTGAATAATTTTCTTCGTTTAAATCTGTAATCATCTGATGTGTCGATCTAGGATACAATTGAAAAATAGTTTCACGTACTGGATAATAAGGAATATCATTCATAGATAAAATTGATTCATAATAATCCTGATTTGTTTCAATGCAGGGATAAAATGTTTCTGTTTGAATTGGTATTGCATAATGACCAATTGATTTTCGTCTTTGTTCATTTATTGGAATCATCATTTCAATCATTTTATTGGAATTGATAAGTAAAGCTATATATTCTTTTTTAAATTTATTTTTTTCTTTTGCTAAACGAAGTCGAAGTATCGTAAGAACAACAATGGACAAAAATGCCATAGATAACATGAGTAAGACGATAAAAGCCTCGATATTAACAGATGAAATCATTGTTGGGCTGTATAATGAATGAATAAAATCTCCGTAGGCTTATGTTCGATTTATAAGACGAAGAAAACAAAAAAAGAAGTAGTTCGATTTACATATATATTTTTCATATATACATTTTCCGCCAAATTAATCTCCCAGAAGATTTATCTTTTCTTTTTTCATAAAATTGGTGGACATGTATTGCAATCAAAAAGCGAAAGAAAATGCAAAGCTAAAGGAAAACAATAAAGAAAACCACAAATAACATCGAGGAATTTCCATATTGGTAATTAGATATGCATCATAGAAAATATTTACAGTGCAAAGATAAATGTGTGTATACTGAAAAAATAAATGTCAGCATTTCTTTTTAAGGCTTTTTCTTTCAACAATAAGTTCTTCTCGTGATGATCTTACATTTTGTTCAAATGTTGCTAAATAAACAGGCTTATTAGCACCTTGTTCATGTCTTCCTGCATCTTTACTTGAATTCATACTAATTTTTTATGATAACCAGAACAACAAGCGTTTAGAGTAATGCTAACATGTCATTACGATTTGCCATATTGACCACTCTGATATGAAGAAAAATTGCTTTTTAATTATTTCTTGAAACAAAACAAACCGTGCATGATCTTGTAAAAGAGGAAATAAAGTATTACAAATATTCATTGTACCGAGAAAATTCTTCTAAGCTGTTATGCCAGCTTGATTAAAAATTGGTGTTATATCATATATCGAGACATACAATATTCAATTTAAATGAATATGTAATGATTATTATTTTAAACTACTGTCAATGCTATTGCAACATTATTTATATGAATATCTAAACTTCCATATTGTTTTTTTTTAATATAATCAGCAAGCCGGTGTATACTTTCAACATTTATTATATCTAACTGATAAAAATGATGTTTTCGCCGAGCTTCATTATTTGATTCTTGTTATTGTTTGACTGTTCTTAAACCAAGTTCTTCATTGCATGATGAAAATATGAAGAATAGTAAACATTATTCAAGTCTTTCTTTTCTTTATTTCAAGGTTAAAATTATGTTTTAACAAAGCGTAAGTCCCGGAAATGAATTGATAAATTTAGAATACTTTGAAAAATATCTTTTGTTCACATGAAACGTAAAAGCTAATTAATATAATAATATTATGATAATAAATGAAAGTTTAACTTAAAAAATAATTAGTTTAACAAACTTGTTCTTACTATTAACTCTTTGGTGCCAGGCGTGGTATATATACTACTTCGAATATTTCTCAAAATCAATCAAAAGATAGTGAAAATAGTCTGCATAATTAATTGTTGCAAAGCTTATCATACCCTAAAATACTTTTGATAATGATTTTTGATTGAATAAACATCTATTGTCATTTATGTAAAAAGCTTTTATTTTTTCGAAAAAATCCCGGCACCAAACGGTTAAAATTCTACCCATAAGACTGACGTTCATAGTATCCTAAATATCAAGTGACAAAAGCAAGTAGTGAATTTCAAAGACATCCATCATCGACAGATTATTAGACATGAATGTGTTTAATCTTTTATTTATAATCTTTTCGTCTTATATTTCTTACTTGAGTATCCAATACCCTAAGAAATAGATAAAATCATTTTTACACAAAGGTTTGTATTGATCCTTTGTTGTTGATTATAATTAGCTTGCTCAATAGGACCAGACTCGGTATGATGTATTCATCATATATATATATACTACAAAAATAATATGATTGATACTATAAATTTATGGAATGATCTGTGTCAAGTCACTTATGTTCGAATACATTCAAAACATAAGTTCAAAATAAAACGAACTTGAAAAAAAACTCTGTAATCATTTAACTGTCTATGCAAAGCAATACTTGGCTTGTCAAGTTGTTAGAAGACATAATCCACTGAGACTATTGCTCTCAAAGTGCAAATGAAGTCGAATAGCGTAATATTTTTTCATCTTCCCTATCCTCCATACGACTTAACTGTCATTTGATTGCGACAGTCAATTAATAGACATATTAAAAATTTGATTATAAAATAATGAATTTACCAGTCAAATACACGATGCCATCAAAAATTGAACATAGCTAATTTACAACTGCGTAACCAATACCCTTCTTAGCTTCAGCGATCTAGAATAAAGAGAGAAAAAGAATATTCATAACATTTTCTCATACTATCAACAGAAGAATCTAGCGCTTACAATAGTTACTAATATTGTCATATAATTTCAATTTTTATTGTCACCAAAAGTACAATAATACAAAGGATACAACAATCTGATATAATATTATATTCTTAACATTTAAACAACATCGATACAAAACTAAATATTTGACTTAAAATGGTCATAAAGCTGGAATGATACATTTTACTCATGACAGACTAGAAAGCTAAATACATCAATGAATTATTGCACACATTTAAATGTTTTGACTACCATTTATCTTCTTCACAATCTTCTCCAAAAAATTTTCCAGTTGGTCCCTCGTCAGATAATGTAGCCAAGAAAACAATTGATTTCGTAGCAACTTCAATTGAATGACCATGATGAGTTTTTAAATTGGTAGCTGTTAAACTACCAGGTATACATGCATTTACTTTTATTCTTGTTTCTTTTAAATCTTTAGCCAATTGAAGTGTAAACATATTGAGTGCAGCTTTTGAAGCACTATATGCACAATGAAAACTTGGTTCTCTACTTTTTTCATGAAAATAAAATGAACCAAGATCACTTGAAACATTAATAATATGTCCTACTGATGATTGACGAAGTAATGGTAAAAATGCTTTTGTTACAGCAAATGCACCAAAAAAATTGACTTCAAAATTTGTTCGAATAATATCTAATGTTAATTCAGTTGGATGTGGTTCGTTTAAACAGACGCTACTATTATTAATAAGAATATCTAAACGACCATATGCATTTTCAACTTCTGTAACAGCTAAATCAATTGTTGCTTGATTAGTAACATCAATCAGTATATAAGTAACTGGAAGATTTTCAGATGCTAGTTTTTCAGCAGCTATTTCACCTTTGATTTCATCTCGAGAACCAATTAGTACTTCAATACCTTTCTCAGCTAATTGTCTTGCTACTTCAAAGCCAATTCCTTTGGTGCCGCCAGTAATTAATGCAATGCGACTGTTGTTTTTGTTCGTATGCGCAGCCATTTGCCTGGCAAATAGAATTTCTTACGCTTTTTATACTTATTCTCTGCCACCGGATCTGCGGATCGAATGATTAAATATCTAATTTAACCACCTACAATAAATGAATTCTATTCATTTTTTTTCTTGCTTTCGTCTTACATTCATTGGTCATAAATAGACGAATTATAAGCGCTTTCTTTTTCTTACTGCCATGTTGTTTGTGTTTATTTATCTTGTTGAATAATTGTTCTATTATCAATAAGCTAGGTATTTGTGTTGAAGTTTTGTTTTCTTCATATGATTAAACTTATTTGAGAATCTTGAAATATTTCTCATCTTTAAAACTATGATGAATTTTAGTAATTTTAAATATAAATATTAAATTTCATAATGCATAGAAACTATTGAGTCATTTTTTGTTATTCGGAACATACCTTTATTTGAAAAAGTATTTATTTGAGATATTGACTATACACAAATTCATTTTTGAAAATTAACTAAAATGGCAACAGCTGAATCAGCAGATATGGACACTGACGTACCAAGTGGATCAACAACAGATACATCAAGTGGACAACGTAAAAGATTTGAAGTTAAAAAATGGAATGCAGTCACGTTGTGGGCGTGGGATATTGTTGTTGATAATTGTGCTATATGTCGAAATCATATTATGGATCTTTGTATTGAATGTCAAGCAAATCAAGCAGCAGCGACAACTGAAGAATGCACTGTAGCCTGGGGCGTGTGTAATCATGTAAGTATCCATTAGATAGCAAGAAAAAAAACAAGATTTTGTATAAGTTTCTTTATTATATTTAGGCTTTTCATTTCCATTGTATATCACGATGGTTGAAAACACGACAAGTATGCCCATTAGACAATCGTGAATGGGAATTTCAAAAATATGGTCGTTAATCAAGCTCATTAATAAAATCTTCAGGACAGAAAAAAAAATCAAAATTTCATAACATTGAACAATTATTTATTCGAGAAACGAACTTAATATATTTCTTTTTTTTTATCTGTGTTACTAATAAACAAAAACAATACATTTTTTTTTACAAAAATAAATAACTTCAAATATATATTTTTCTGTAGATATGAATCATTTAATAGGTTTATCGAAACGAAGTATTTTATTATCAAATCGCTTACCAATACAGACAACAATCCGTACTGTACTTAATAATCGTGAATGGCGACCAAAGGAAGAAATTCCTGTAACAGTTGAAGATCGTGCAGCATCAGCAAAAAAATATAATATGTTACCAGAAGATTATAAACCTTTACCACCTGAACGTAATGCTGGTGATATGCCAGATGTTGAACCAGCTGGAAAATTTTTTGATCGTAGTCCATGGGAAGATTATGATTATCCAAATGATCGACAAAATTGGAATGAACCACGTCATCCATCTGATCATGTTAAATATGATAAAACACGTATTGGATATGGACCAGAAAAACGACCAGTTACATTAAAAATATTATTAGGATTATTAGTTTTACCAACTGCGTTTATATTAGGTGTTTATGGTTTACGTGCATTTGAATTTATGACTCCGACATTTCGTTCACCTAAACCTGAACCTGGTGTTGTGCATTATTCATTTGAAAAAAATGATGGTTCTGGACAAGGTGTTCGATATTAGACAACAGAATAAAAAACGAACATTAATGAACTTTTGTATGCGTCGTAGTAAAGCAGTTTTTCTTGTATTTACATTAAAAGAATATAAGATAAGGAAAAAAAATATATACACCCAATTGTTTGCCCTTTTCATTTTTAATTAAAAGAGAAAATATTCGGGGGTTGATAAATTCAAAAAAGGTATATGTCAAAGGATGTCGGTATGATTTATGTGTATGAATACAATGCACAGCAAATATCGTTGTTTATTTCTACATATAGACCTGTTTGATAATTAGTATTGTTTGAAAATACGAGCGATCTTTCTTTTTCTTATTCCAATTTTTATTCTTTCTTCTCTACGTTTCCTTCGTTTATTTCTATTCCTTTTATACAGCATAACGTCACTGCCTTTTCTGCCTCTCTCGCTCTCGATGCCTCAGCTGTGCACTGGAGCGCACATATAAGCGTCAATACTATCGTCTATCGTCAACCATCAAATCATTTATGTTTCCTTACAGACAAGACAAAAAAAAAGAAGGAAAAAACTAATAATTTTTACGGTTATTATTGCCAGCCAAATTTTTTTTTCTCTTGTGAAGTTAACATTCTTGATTGCCTTCTCTTGTACAACATACTTGTCATGTACATGAATATAAAGATTCTTTTTTATTTCAGATGTGATGACATTTTCTATAAAATACAATGTGCGAACAAACGAAACGCTATTTTTCTCCGCGACTTGTTGATTATGTAATTATAGTTGGTTGCCGTCACCCAAATGAATATAACCATGTTACACAAACGCCTGAGCTACTACGTCGTTATCCATTAGAAGACCATAAGGATTTTGCATTACCGCCTGACGTTATATTCTTTTGTCAACCTGAAGGTTGTATTAATACTGGTCATCAACGAACAGGTTTTCAACAGCTAACATCATTTGTATTTACATTAACCGAAAAAGATTCAAATCGACAACGTTTTGGTATATGTGTAAATTTTTACCGACACTTTCCTCGACGATCATGTTCAATACATAGTCATAATCAACAAAAAACTGATGGTAATGATTCATCTGATGATAATGCTGGTACAACTAGTCATTTACCGACAACAAATGAACAGACGGGAGGAGATGGAACTGATAATAATGAACGTAAACGTAAAAGACGTTTGAGAAATAATACATTAACATCTATTTGCCTTATAAGTCATCATCCATTTTTTACACGTTTTCGTGAATGCCTTATTACATTAAAAACTATTATTGACGCTTGTAATGAACGTTCATGTGCAAAGCGAACTGGTGCATCGAGAGGAATATCAAGGTAAGCATCCAAATCCTTGTTAATTTTATGTAAGAGATTTATTTTTATTCACTTTCAGAGAAACTGTTTGGAGTGTATTGACCGGTCAAGCTTGTGAATGCACATCAAGTATAGTAGGTCGTGAAGTGCGAGAAATTGAAACATGGATATTACGATTATTAAGTGCACCAGTATCTATTCCCGGAAAAACAAAAATTTTAGTAAAGAAACAAATTAAACATATTTTGTATTGATTCTTTTTTTAATATTCAGATTGAAGTACTTCCAAATGAACTACCTATGTTATTTGCTTTACCAGATCACACAAGATTTTCTTTGGTAGATTTTCCTCTTCACTTACCCCTTGAGCTACTTGGTGTTGATTTGTGTATACGTGTATTAACATTAATTATGCTTGAAAATAAAGTAAAAAAAACAAGGTTTTTTCAATTAAAAAAATAATTTTTCAAATAAAATTTTAGGTTGTTTTTCAATCAAGAGATTATAATGCTTTAACCATGAGTGTTTTAGCATTTGTAGCCTTACTTTATCCACTTGAATATATGTTTCCTGTCATTCCACTTTTACCAACATGTATGACTGGTGCTGAACAAGTAGATTAATTTATCTTACATTAAAATATATATTTTAACTTTTGTTTTCTCTATTTAAAGCTTCTACTTATTCCAACTCCATTTATAATTGGTGTTCCGGCAAGTTTTTTTCCTTATAAAGGTATGGGATTAAAAAAATTTGATGATATATGGATTATAGATCTCGATACGAATCAGGTTTGTTTATTTATATACAATTTTTTTTTCTAATTTTACTACTAACAATAAAAAAAATAGATTATTCCACCGCGTCATGCTGAACCATGTTTTGATATTCCAGAAATGGAATATTATGTGTTAAGTAATCATTTAAAACAAGCCGTAGGTAGTATGTCACAAGATAAAGAACCGATACAAAATTTTGATACAATATTAAATGATAAATCTTTTTTAACAAATTCAAAAAAATTACCATCAACAACACATAATCCATTTATATATGGTAATGATATTGATTCAGTTGATATTGCAACAAGAGTAGCTATGGTTAGATTTTTTAATTCACCTAATATACTTGGAAATTTTAATGAATATACAAGAACATTAAGATTACATCCAAGAGCTGTTGTTGCTTTTCAATGTAGTAGTTTTGTACGATCAAGACCAGCTAAATCAGCATTTATTATTCGATTAGCAAAAACTCAGGTATGAAGAAGAAGAAACAAAAAAGAATGTCTAATAAAAAAAATTATTTTTTTTTTTTGAATTTATTTAGGCTGTTGAGTTCTTTGCAGAATGGTCACTTTGTCCCGATAATGTAGCATTTTTACGTGTACAAACAGGTGTTTTTGATCCGGCTTTGATTGGTGATAAACCAAAATGGTATAGCCAAAATTTAACAGCAATACCATTTAATATAATCGAAGAGAATAGTACACTTGGCCAAGCCGTTAATTCGTTCAATGTAAAATCTAATGATACTGAACAAACTCCAACAGGTTTTAATAGGGTTTCTTTTTATTTAATATTGAAAAAAATATATATTTTATATTTAAGATGAAAGTGGAAGTGATTCTGAAGAAGAAGAAGAAGATAGTACAAATTCTTGTTATTCATCATTAAGTGATTTTGTATATGAAATGCGTCATAGTGGAATTTGTGGAGAAATTCGAGGTAATACTACAAAAGTTTATATACAGTAACTTCGAAAATTATTCGACTAGGTTTAGTTTCAATAAGAATTATTCGAGATGAAAATGATTACTTGTCTTTCAAGGATAGAATTTTTGAAAACTCAGCTACTGAAATTTGCAAATAATTCTCTACGAGATGAAACAATTTTCAACTTTCGACGTCATTGTTTGACTAAATGAAAAGTTTTCGGTTTTCTCAGGTGATCTGCTTTTTCTGAAGAAATAGGTCAACTTTCGATAGGCGACGAATTTTCATTTTTCATTTCGTTTAAATTTCGAAACTTTTTCTTTCTAATGTAGTGTAAAAAACTGAATCTAGGAAATTCGTTTATAAATGAGTTTCTGAGATTTAATTTGTCGTTTATCGAAATTTGATCTCTAACAAGTAATGTCAAAAAATTGAAAATGCATAGATTGTTAATCAACTCATCATGCTCTCTCTAACCATATATTTAGAAAAAAAGCATCGTAGAAAGTTGAAAGTCATTCTATTTTTTACAGAATTGTTTGCTCTCTCATTTTACATAATTCAAATAAAACTGTATTTGCAAGTCGTGGAAAACCAAAAAATCATTGTCATCTTGAATAATTCTTATTGAAAATAAAAAATGACTATTTGAATTCTTATTCACATTAACCGCAGTGAAAAAAAAGTTGAAAATAAGCCTTGTCAAATAATTTTAGCAACCACTATATATTCTTTGAAAAAAAAATGTTAATTATAAATTTGATATTTTAGAGAATAAAATTTATCCAGAAAATCAAGAAAAAACAGCTTGTGTCGAATATTCAACAGTTTATAGTCCACCAGATGCATTACAAATACCAGAAAATACAAAGAAACATCTAACTATAAATGAATCGAATCCATCAATGAGTGAATCGACTCTAAGTTCAAGTTCAAATTCAGATATAACTTCTAAATTTAATTCACCTATGGATGAAAATACTCGAGTATTATCTGATTTATCAGGAACAATAATTGATATAGATTCAAAGTCTAGTTCAGCTACAATAACACCTGTTGCAAAAATTTTTCCAAAGTAAATATATTTCTTTTTTCTTTGAGTTTAAGTAAACATTTTTATTTTTATTAGACCATTATTTGATTCAAAAACATCTCAAAGTGAAAGAACATCTACACAATCATCACCTCCATCAGAAAATCATCAAAAAATTCTATCAAATACTCAAAAACAACATGACCAAGAATCAGAAAATAATAAAACATCGAGTCCATCTTTACTTGAACAAATGACTGATGAAATTAATTCAACTACGGCTGTAAGAGTTGTTTCAAATATAGCTAAACTAGCAACAAATAAAATGTCTGAAATGTTAAGTATGTTTTTATTAATAGAAAAAAAAAATTTATACAGATGCTTTTTTTTTCCTAATTTTGAATAGTATCATCATCTGAAAGTCCACGCCAATCAAATTCATCAAGTCCAACTATAAATCTTTCATCACCATTTCCAAAATCAAATCATAAAATTGATAATTTGAATTCACTAAAATCTAGTGGACGAAATTTAAATACAGTAATTGCTAATCGACAACGAGATTTTATTCGACAACAAAGTGTAGAATTAAAAGCAAATACACATAGTGAAAATCAATTATTTTTAAAAGAAATTGTTACAAATGTACTTGAAGGATTAGGTATTGGATGGTTAAAAATAAATCGTGTCAAAAAATTAATGGAAGATGAAAATTATAGAAATTTTGTACTTGGAAGATTAAATGTTAATTTAGATAAGAAATATTCCGATGACGATGATCATATTGAAGATGTTGTAAGTCATTGTTGTTATTTTTTTAAGGAGCATAGAACAATTAAATCGTCAAATTGAAAGTTAAGTTCCAGCTAGAGAAGAGTTTTTTTTTGAAAGAAGGAAACAAAAAAAAACGTTCACTTAAACTATATAATCAGTGTAAATATACATGAAATTACAGATACAGCTATACATCTACCAAATTAACAGATGGATTGTAATTAAATGCAATTTTTCGATCATTTACTGTTCCTATATAAAATATTCCCTTGTATATCAAAAGATGAAGAACGATCCGAAATTGGTTTCTTTTATTAAGAAAGATTTCTCATGTAAGAAAATAGTCACAGCTAGTAACAATCAGGAATCTTTATTATGCGAACGTTTCGGAAGTGTCATTTAGCCAATAAATAAAAGCAGAGTATCTCACTAGTTCAATGACATTTCTCATCTACATAGAAGTCTGAGTACACTATCAACTGCATTAAGTAACATAGGTTTTACTGAAGTGAAACAGTGTTAACTGTGTAACTAAAAATAGTAACCGATCTGACTTTTTGAAACTGATCAGCAGGCATTTTACTCGTGACTGCTTATGTTAATAAGTGACTGTCTTCAAGAAGTTGAAGTATCTAAGAGCACACCTTGATCTTTCAATTATATTCCCACTGCGAAACAAAAAAAAAATAAGCAAAAAGAAGAATGTGACACTGCTACTGAAGAATTCATTAGGTGTTTAAAAAACTAAAATATTCTTGATGAAATTGGCTATATTTCAAAACTTATAATAACAGTCTCATGTAAATATTCAGGACACAATAAATAAAAGAAAAACAAAATGTAGTCTAGTAGCAAATGAGATTCTGCATTTTTTAGTATCAGAATCGAAGCCTATCGAATCTGGAACCAATCCGACAGGTCCTAATCCGAATTGGGACTTTAGAAATGAATTTAAATTTTAAAAAAACTTCATTTTTTTAAAAATCTTACCAAAATCACTATGAAAGATATTTTCAACTCCTCGAAAAAGCTTGGATATCCGAAACTAGATCAGTCAAACAAACAACAAAATTCTCTATCTTTTGATATGTGAATTTAAATGAAAGGAAAGTTATATGTACATTTATTTAAATTCATTATGACTCATCTATAATTGCCACTTCATTTCAACGCAAAAATTGTCAACTGAAATTCTGAGTTCCATTTTTCTTGTCACTTAACTAAGAATAGATTACATGATGATTAAATGAAATATTCTACGCACAAGCTTTATTTTTATCTATTATTCCATTCAATTTAACTCAAATAAATCTTCTTTTTAGAAAGTTAGTCGACCCGTATTTAAAGGTATCGCGAATATTTTACGTGCTGTTATTCAAGGTCTTGAAGTAACATTTGAAAATAATGGTGTCGGTGGTATGGCATCAACATTTCAATTACTTGAAATTGCTCATACGCATTATTGGATCAAAGATAATACTATGCGAAATGACTTAAGTCCTATGTCTGAACGAAATAGTCCTCTTGCTAGTAGTCGTGGAAGTTTAGCATCAATTGAACCCAACATTTCAGTTAATTCAATAAGTCTTTCACCGAATGTACAATCCGAAGAGAAGCAAAATGATGTTATAAGTCCAACTGCAAGTTTTGCTGCTCAACTAGGTAAGAAGTACAAAAGCAAAACGTATCATTTTCTATAAACGATCAGAATGCCTCTTTATTGAAAACTCAAAAAGAAAAAGAAATTTGATCATAGAAAAACACACAAATATTTTCAGGAAGTTTCTGGCGTGAATCAAAATCAGTATTGACGCGTAGTTTTATATCTGCAACTCAAGCAACTGCTGCTTTTGCACCAAGTTTTGAACTATATATAAATCCAAAACATTCATTTTCACATCATGTACCATTTCATTCAACACTTACTGTTACTCCATCAATATCACCCAGTTTGAATTCTAAAGAACATCTATCATTGAAACAATCTCATTCGATATTAAACAATAATAATATTGATCAAAAAATCGGTATACGTTTTGTACTCACTGTTGTATTCCTAATCTGTTTAACTGTTTAAATCTTCTTCTTTGAACATCACGTTTGCATGTTTCATTTCTCATCTTAATTTTTCGGAAACGAAACAAAGTTTAATAAAAGTTTTTTTCTTTTTTTGTTTATGTAGATCCAATTGATGTTAATGGTGATGAATATCAGAATATAGAAATTCTATCTGATACAATGTCCAATTCATATGAGATATCTACTACAAATGTTAATATGAATGATTCAAATCAAATAAGTAAGCTAGATTTTTCTTTTGTTGATTTATTTTTATAAAATTTTCTTTTTTATAGCAACAGATAATCAAATTCGACCTAATTCATTGCATTTAATCAATGAAGTGAGTTGTTTTGATCTAAATAAAATTAATTGAAATTATTTTATTAGCATAATTTAAAAACTCTAATTAATATTTCACGTGTTGATTCAATAACAACTGATGATGAAAGTGGACCAGATTCAATTTCATCGAGTCGACGTGCATCAAAAATAAATCATCATCCTATACGAATATCAAATCAATGGACTGATGATAAATCAAAACCTAAAGATGTGCCAGTTGTATCAACAGCTAAAAGTTCATTTTCTACTGGATACAGGTATTTATTTCTCTTTTAAACATGGATTATACACGAAGTAAAACTTTTTGTTTTTTTTTTCTATTACGAATCGAATTTGAAAAGTAAAATATTATTCATCAATAGAAATATACAGATTAGTGCTGTCTTTTTTTTCCAGAAATGCCCTTGCTGCACCAAGCAGGCATTGTTCAATTCAATTTTCTGTTTCGATGAGGAAACATCATCCCATATGTCAATTGTTTTTAGTATATTTGATTAAATTTGAGTCTATTTTAGATCAATTCTCAAATGTGTTCAGTTAGTTAGAGCATACAATTCGAATTAGAGATGCGCGGAATTAATTTTAGTTTCCGTCTGGGATTGGAACCATGAGAGAAAAGCTGTCTCAACCGGAAATAAAGGCTATGGGTAAATATTCTATCGCTTTTAAGCGAATTATCTTATAAATCATCAATTAGAACATAGATCAAGAGACATGACCCGAAAAAAGTACTCGTCGTCGACTACACAAATCGAAAAACCAGCATTGAACAATTTTTAGATAAGAATAAATTTTGGAATAGTTTTCTCTGGATCGGAACCGAGATCAAGCCAGATTCACCCAGATCAGAACAAAAAAACACTTGATCCTGTACGCCTCTAGGCCAGATCGATTCTATACGGATCGCAATGTGTTGCACTCGGATTATTTGATATACTTAGAATATCTTGAAATTGGTGTATTAAAGACGAGTTGACTCTTACTATGATTTCATTAGAAGATTGAGCCTGATTATAGTTCGTTGAAATCTTTAAAGTTGAATATTTCTTCATTATTTTAATTTAGATTTCGAAATGGATCTTTAATACAATTAGCTGGAAATAATGTTGTATCTCCCAATGATAAACAATATTTATTTGAAGTTCTTGTTGGTAGTTCTCGTAGTTATTTATGGGATCAAATGCAAATATGGGAAGATATGTTACTTGATGCTATTGCTCAGGAACGTGATATTATTGGTCTTGATCAAGGTCCAGCTGAAATGATGGAGCGGTATAAATTAACGTTTTAATTGAAACTACAAAATTCATCATTCATTGTTATGTTTTTCTTTTAGTTATTATTCGTTATCAAGTTCTGATCGAAAACGTCTTGAATTAGATGAAGATCGTTTATTGGCTGTAATGCTTTATAATTTAATCGCATTTATGGTTATGATGCGTGTTAGTAAAGATGAAATTCGTCGAAAAGTTCGTCGAATGCTTGGTCGATGTCATATAGGTTTATCAATGAGTCAACAAGTTAATGAATTAATTGATAATATATCTAATTTGGTAAGTTAAAGTCAAACAAAAAAAATCACAGATTCCTTTTTATTTTAATGATTTATTCTTTCATAGAATGGTAATGATGTTGATTTACGACCAGGACCTAGTCGTATTTTACAAAAACGAAGTTTTACTGTACATTGGGGAACAGATAATACTGGTGATATGCTTTTTATGGAGGTAAATTGTTAAGAAAAAATTATGATTTTTTTACGGTTTTGTAACAAATAATATTTGATTAGGTATGGGATGATTGTCTCATTCTTCGAAGTGTACTTGGTGAAATTTATGATCGATGTTGGTTTGAAAAATTAATTAATATGACATTTTGTCCAAAGACAAAAGTAATTTGTTTATGGCGAAAGGCTGATGGTGAAACAAAACTGAATAAATATTATACAAGACGAGTAAATATGAATTTCAATTGTTCTTATTTGACGATTTTTTGAAGTTTTTTTTCTATGAAACATAATCTAAAAGGAGCGTTGAAATATATAGGGTAGAAATTTGCACTCCCGTATAAATACTTTATCAAAGTTATCCCTCTCGGTTACAGATCGTGACTACATAGTATTCTACACGAGTAAGACTTTTCGTAATCGACCCCGAATAGTTGCACCCAGTACCTGACAGAAGCTAATCTATGTCGGATAGATAATTTCAGAATCATAATATGTTTTTCAAGTTATCATTTTATATGAAAAAGTACACTATTTAGTTTCTTCCATAAGCGATAGCAAAGATAAGAAATCGCCTCCAAAGCAAATGATTCAGGTAGAGGTGCAGAATTTACCCGCATGCGCGCACGCCCGTTTGGGGAAATCTTTTGATTCTTAGAAGCGTTATGGAGAAATAGCTGGGGGAAATAAATCCTCGTGTGGGAAAATTTTTTTAATTCACGGCAGGTTCTGTACCTCTGGATTCAGGACTTACTTGTTGTCTTTCTACTTCTAAAATCCAATCAATTTCACTTAGTATACGTTTGCTGGTTTTTGATGACGTTGAAACGGAGCACAGTATTGGTATCAAACATCATTTATTGTGAATATATACATGAATGCTTTTTCCATTAAGATAATAGATTGTTCACTTTTTTAATAATTCATTTTCTTTTCCATGTAATCAATTACTTCGTCATATTGTTCGTCATCATCTGTAGATGAATTTTCATTAAAAATGAATTCTTTTAGAAAAACAATATCACTTCCCACATGCGTGATCTGTTCTCAGATACAATAAATCACTCAAGTTTTAACTATCAGGTTCACCTATGAGCTTATAGCCAGAGTCGAACCGACTCGATGAGTTTGTACTCGGACTCCATGCTCCGAATCGGATCCACGGTAGCTGCACACTAGCTGTGATAGGTGTTGTTAATATATGATCAAAGACCATAAATCAATAATGTCTCACCATAGTATATGAACTACTTCTTTATTACAGTTTTGAAAGATTAAGTAATAGATATGTGTTTCAAAATAGATAGAAGAAAACAATTTTCCTGTGATTATTAAGAGTAGCTGCATTGTGTTTAACAATTCTATTTCATAGAGATTAGGCTAACACGTTTTTATTTTAGTGTCGAGATTTATATTTTACAATAAAAGAAACAATGGAAAGAGCGGCATCTCGGATGAAAGGTTCATTACCTGGTAAAAAAAATGAATATTAATTAAAACGAGATTTTCGTTTTTTTGTTTGTTTGTTTTTGGTTATAAGATCAACAAGTTGGTGGAGAATTTCCGATCAAAAATGTTAATACTGGTGAAGGTGGACTTCTACAAGTTTGTCTTGAAGGTATTTGTTTAACATTTGAAAACAATAAAGTAAATAATTAAAATCCTTCTATTGAAATGATAATTGAAATATTGTTTTTCGTTTTCAAGGAATTTATTGACTTACAAAAAATTCGAAAATGTACAACACAAAAAGGCGATATATTTGTACTAGAAGAATTTGGTAAAAGGAAATTTTTTCTTCTTTTTTAGTTGTTTTTGTTTTTTGTTGCTATTAGATTCAAATACAAAACAAATTCTTATTCGAAAATATAAATCTTCAATGGTAAGTAGAGTTTATTAGTCTATGCTTAATAGAAATGCAATAAATTCGTTATTATTTATATGTTGTATTTGTTTAATGTGTTATATAGGCGCATAAAATATTGTTTGCTTTTCATCGTATTGTTTCTATTTTGCTTGAACGTCAAAAATTGTCTTCTGTCAATGATGATTCCATTAAAGATAACCGTCATTTGCAGCAGACAACCAATGGATTAGGTATTTAGGAGTAAATTTATGTTTAAATGTTAAACAAAGACAAAACACGAAAAATAAAAAGCAAAATAATTCATCGACGATCTTTTGTTATATTATAGGCTGATCGTATTTGTTATGCTGTACTTTGTGTATTTTCATATTTGGCAGCTGGAAATGATCAACAACAATATTGAATCTCATTTTATTCCGACAATAAGTCAGTGATAATATCTTTGATTTTCCTTTCTGTTATTTCTAAGATGAAATTCCTTTTGTCTTCCTCCTCGGTTTTTTCTTCTTATTTCCTTCTAGTCATATATGATTAAACAGTATATTTCTTTTTCTTACCAATAACAGTGCAAACTAGAATAATGAATTAATATGTTCATGTTTGTGTATTTGTTTTATTATATTGTTTTTTTTCTCTTCTTATTTCGTCTTCAATTATTTTATGTCTTCGATTTTTTTTCTTTCTAACTAATTTCATCTCATGTGTACATGTCGTTTTATTTTATGACATTTTATTACTGTTTTAATCATTTCTGAAAAATATATTCTTATCTAGCTATGCAACAGAAAAATAATGTCTATTTTATGCATTCCATAATTTCATAGTTGAAGAATCAAAAAAGAAAAAGACACAGGGAAGAAAGAATGTTGGCGGCAAAGGTAAAAAGAACTAGGGTAAAAATAAATCATTGAAACTTAATTATGTATGATTTGATTAAGACTTGGTGCGAAGCAAAAAAAAGAAAGCTAACAATAGCTTCTGTTGTTATACATACTCCATAGTAACCAATGTGTTCTGAGACAAATCAGTTTATATATATGCTGTTGTTTGATATAGAAGCAACATTCTAGAGATATCTATGCAAGTATTCATATACAATTATTGATCTTGGTTTTTAGTTATTGTTTCGATTGCATCTGAATTTTTTATCATACATAAATACACCCACACTCAAATCAATAACCTCATATTGCCAACGTGACTAATCAGTCATCGAAGCATAATATAATCATTTAGAAAAAAAAAACTTATTTATTTCTCCTACGAGTAATATAGCCGTCATATATACTTGATCAAAGTTGTTAGAAATGACAACATCTAATCCTTAAGTATATTTACAAAATACGGCTTCGAATGAAATTTGTTCGAATGAAAGGTTTCTTTTGTATTACTAGTTTTTTTTTTTATTTAGTTGTTAGGAGGCGGAGTGAGAAATGCTTGTGCGATATTCGCAATTATTTCATCAATTACCCATTATTTTTTTTCTCTTCTTGCTTTGACTCTACCACGTAATAGAAGTAAACTATTTTCTTGTGACATTACGATCGATCGATATTTTTTTGATATCTTGCTTATTCATACTTTCTTTGCCATACGTCGTCATATAAATATATACATTATATAGGTTATCACCAAAATATTTTTGTATACCAGACTTCCGCTAGTTTCATTCAACGGCAATGCAGTCTATGATATTCTTTATTTTGTGGGCGTTTGTAATTATTTTTTATGGTAATTATAGTTAAATACATATTAGAATTCTTTAATCTGTTGACTTTTTTTAATTCTAGTGCAAGCTCGTTTTATTGATAAACTTGAATCAGATGAACAAACTGATAAAGAAGAATTTCCCATTGAAAAATATTCCAAATTATTGACGTATTTAAAAAATCATAGACAATATACGTATGACAATAATAATAATAACAATGATTTATCATCAAGCAGTACAGAAGACGTTATTCAATTACCCAAACGTTCTTTTTTTCTTTTTCCTAATCGACGATCAACTAAAAAAAACCGACCAACATCTATCTATGGACGGAAATCTCATTGGGATACATTTTTTGGATAAAAACAAATAATAATAATAATAATTATTATTACTATCATATCCAATGATTATCGATCTTCCGTATTGCATCTAGTCACACACACACGACTGCCCAATGTGTGATAGGTTTTGCTTTTAATTCATGTATTGTTTTATGATTTTTTATTTTTCATTCAAGCCAAAGAAAAAAAGAAATCTCATTTGAATATAATAATGTTCTTTTGTTCTAATTATTCGCCTTTAGAATAAAAAATACTTTGTTTTTTTAATAATTCAATCGAGTGCAATTCTTGGCAGCAATTGAAAATGCTTGTAATGCTCTAAAATAGAAAAAAAATGTGTTAATCAAGTTTTTATTTAAAGATACGCTTATGAAAACAATTAAAATTAATCCCGAAGTCAGTTTGATAACTAAGATAGATTGTTAGATGTTACTAATCTTTTTAGTTAAAAAAGAAATCTATTAGAGACAGTTATGAAGACATATTTATTAGTCATAAAACAATTTTATGACTAGCTATTAAGAAATGAAAAAACTAGAAATTTGTCTGTTGCGTATAAAATTTATCGATCTGTAACTTTCGAGAATTATGTCTCTCATTCTATTTTGCATACGCCACGTCGATTTTTGGTGGTTTTGCTATTGGAGGTAGTCAAGTCAGTGGCATTTACTAATATGAAAGGCAATGACTCAATCTTCTGAAGGATTGTAATAGTCGAGAACAGTAATCGTGGTGTTTCATCATGTGACCACAACAAAAGAAAAATGTTTTCTTGTTCGAAGCTATGCAAAAACTGACTTGTGAAATTCATTATTGGCGCACAGGGACCAATACCTCCCACTAAACGTATTTTTTATGGTGAAAACCTTTTAAACCTGTCTTATTTCTATGAATGCTCTTGATGAAAAATCCACTTAAATATACGAAAGTCGATTATTTTAATAAGATCACTCTGACATAACTTCTCATTAGCTTTTCAGTACGTTGATTCAAATCAATTTTCTCATGATAAGAACTAGCCAGAAAACGTCAGTTGTCGATAACTATAAACATATGGCGTACAAACGATGAGAGAAATAGCGTTTGTATAGTTACATTATTCGCCTCCTTACATTTCAAGGTTATAGAGTTTCTTTTTATATTCTTTCTTCTGTAAAAAAATTTTACCGAGGTTTTTTGAACATAATTACTGTTGCTTGTTGCATAAAAATTTGTCTATTATCTTTGAATATTTGACAAAAATTTTGTTCATGCGCATAACATTTAGCTAAATTTGAAAAATATTTTATTTCAAATGCACCGCAATTTAATGTTTTTCGTTGACGAAATGTTCGTGCAAGAAAATCTTGTGTACAATTGTGTATATTAATCATCATTTGTCTTCCCTATTTTAAATAAAATACAATAAAATAAGAAGATTTTCGTAAAAAGATCTGGTTTTGTTTTTACTGGAGGTGTAAATTGAAGAACAATTTCTTTTGGAAAAACTTGACATAATTCATGTGCCCAAGCTGTGACACTTTCATCGTTACAATGATAACGTTCATGAAAACACTTTATAAACTCACAACCTGTATTCAAATCTTTGGACTTTTCATAACATTCATTGACTTCTATAAGTTCAACGATTAAATTTTTTTATTTTTATAAGAAAATATTTACCTTTTGTATTCATTTTTGATCTTTTTGCACCATTAACAAATATTATGAAGTAGCAGATGAATACAAGCACACGAAGCATTTTCAACATCATAAAGACGAAAACTACACAAATGAATGTATGTCTTTCATTTTATCTTTTTTTTTCTTGATGCACAGTTTTGAATTACAGCAAGTACAGAATGCGAAAACATTCTATGGGTTATAGAACCAATTACATCATGCAAAAGAAAATACTAGTACTAACCTGGATACTGTGCATATAGATGTACATGATTTATCTTACTAATTATATCGAGGACATGTACGTGATTGTTAACTGAAGAAAAGTTCGAGTAGAATGAAAATTAAATCAAATACAAACATTTTGTATTATATTGATTATTTCAAAATTTAATATGGTTAAGATAAACTATATATAAAAGTGTATATGATTTAACCATCTTGACTTGATACAATGATGTTCTACTTTTTATCTTCTTATGTATAGCAATTGCTTGATGCTTAAAAATTTGAGATATTCGCATTGAATTATAAACTATTTGCATAATAATTAATTTTAATTCTTTCGATAATATTCAACATCTATCGAAAAAGAATTTATATTTAAGCAGTTACTTGCATTAATATTAAATTTTATTCTTTTTCTTGAACTTTTATTTTATGCTAAATTAATCCTATGATTAGAATAATTGAATAGACATAAACAGAAATATTATCAAACAAATCAATAAAACCAAAGATTGACTTAGAAGATAAGTATCAAAAATAATAAAATAATTAACGTCGACGATTTCGTCTCTTTATAAAACTTAATCGCTACTTGATAAGTAACTATGAAAGCCGTGTAATAAAAGAAAACATGTGTATGATCTTAAAGGACAATTTTATAATCATTTATTAAACAAAACGACTAATAAATGAATCAATGATTAATCATCTTTCCATATAAGAATAAGAGCCATACATGAAAAAACAACTGTTCCCTAAATCTGGTAATTTTTGCCAAAATCAGATAATCCAAGCGCATATATTCATATTAAGATCTTTTTTTAGTTTATACTCGATAATGTTTGAACCGATAGCGCATAATGGTTAAGTAAAATCTTTAATCAAACTGAGTTTTACTGTCTTCTTTTGTGTTATATTAGCTCCAAGGTTTTTTGCTTTTCTTTTTAAGAACATATGAAAGAATATTTTTTTTATCATGACCTTCCTCATGTTATATTCATTTTCATATTTACTTTAGATTTCACATCAATTGATAACACAGGAGAACAAATTAAACATAGTATGTTGTCTAGACCTAATTGAGAGGTCTTTATTAAAAACATGAATAGATAAGAAATTTCTCTTCCAGAATGCAAACAATATTTCGCATGGCTTTTCACACAACATTAGACTGCTGTTTTCAACATAACTATATTTAGACCTGTAAGAATCTGGAATCTCAATTTCCTAGCTATAATTAATGCAAGAATGCATAAATGAGATAGGACTTAATGCATTTAATTTGTCTAACATCATCGTTTTTTTAGGTGAATTCAATTTATATAAGTTAAAATGTTTTAAGATATGACTATCTATGATACAATGTAAACGATACTATGTTTACTCTTTGTTGTCTGCATTCTTTGTTTTACGAATATGTTTTCTATTTTAATAACATACAGGAATGTTTTGTTGAAATTGTAATACTGTTCTCTATTGTACAAAATGATTTTATCTGTTCTCTCAGTAATGGTTTCGTTTCAGCATTCTTTTTGTAGACTTATAAAGTATTTTATCATTTAATAGTGATGAGAATCCATAACTTTCATCAACTATACAAGCAACTCTCCAGGTTGTATTGAAGTATCAAGTTACGAACAAAAAATTGAAAACTACTCGATGCACTGAGCGAATATTATAGATAAGACGTATCATAACATGCAAACATTTCTAGGTTCAATGAGTTTTAACAATAATTAAATTCTTCCGATTCCCTTTTCTTCCAACTAACCAATAACTACGAATGCTATGCATACATATATAATGTAACAATTTCTATAGTTCCGTTGCATGTATCTATCTATATGCTAGCTTCAACAAGGAAGTTGAGTTATCGAAGTTTGAACATTCTATTTAGCTATTTATATAAAGGGTGATCCAAAAGTTACCGGGCACTTTTTTATTGCGAATAACTTTTGACAGAAACAAGAAAAACAGCTGCATTTTTCACCGTTAAAAAGAAGAGACTTGAGAGAATCGAACCACACAAGAAATATAACGTTCTAAAATATTACTAGGACGGTTTTGAATAACCCAGCTTTTCAAAAATTCGAAGCTTTCGGAGCTTCCATAACACTTTGTTTAACCTTCGTTTTTCAAAAATCTTTCAGAAACTTTAAATTTTATGTTTTTTATAAGATTGAATGCCTCTAAGTCTACTTTTTTCAAAGGTGAAAATCGCGACTTTCTTTCTTGTTCCTATCAAAAATTATTCGCAATCAAAAGTTACCCGGTGACTGTTGAACCATCCTATATCCTAAAAATATCATCAACTGATACACCGTTCATAAGTTTTTTTTCACTTCTTATGCATTACTCTTTATGTTAAACAAGTCGATGTTCTTCTAAAATGTGAATTATCCGTGGGCTTTATTCTTTTGAATATTGAAACACAAAAACTCTTTTTCTGTCGAGATACTAAACTGGAAAAGTATTCCAAAAAATATTTATACATATATGCAATATCTAAACATCAGTCGATTATTCATTTCGTCTGTACAGGAGCAGTAAGAAACATTAGATAATTGAATTATTGTACTTGCCATAGGAGATCTTAGCTGTTGATAAGGATAGAATGCTTCCGTAGAAGAAAGAAGACGATCATATTTAAAAAAATGTGCTCTGAAATCTATTAGAAGTAACAGTGGCTCATTTTTGGGCTTGCTTTAATGAAAAACGATTTCAGAAAAATGGGGTTATCATCTACAATACACTTCTTTTTCTAAGTGTGCCACTGAGTATTTGTAAAGAATTTACAAAAGCAAAAAAAAAAGGAAATTTTAATCTGTTTCGACAACGTGAAATAATTAAAATAAAATTGCTTGTAAGAATTTATTTTCTTTGTCATTTTTTCTGTAAGAAAACATAGTGAGTTTAATTCGCGATATAATTTTTCCATCACAAAAACTTCGTACTAAGAACTTTTATTTTATTTATTGCATGCTATCGATAGAAGTGCTCCTGGAATTTTTTTATACAACTCTTAAAAGATTTGAATAATTTTCTATATTAAGTTTCTTCGAATGAACTATATATAAGCGTATATTTGTAGTAGTCGTACATACCTTCTTTTCTGTTGTAGAGACTAAAAAACAATTTTATTCAATGGTAAAATAGTGTGTACACATAAAGGTGTGCGTAATAAAAACCATGGCTTGACGGTGAAGATCTCTTGACTGATTTGTAACCTCGAATGCAGTTATCTTTATCATTTTAGCAGCAGCGCTGTTCTATATCTAAAAGCACCAGATGCATGAAGTTGCTTTTCGTTTGAAAAACCTCATAGACGTCGCTCTCCACAAAGTCAAGAAATAGAAGAATTGTTATATTGTCTAGCATCGAGATGACACTGCTTATTGATGCTAATAGAAAGTGTACGAAATAAAACATGTTCATGACGAATATATAGTATTAACAAGTTTTCTGCAATGCCTCAATTTTCTGTGCAAGAATCTTTTCAATTTTTCCTGTAATAACATGAAATGAGTAGTGTATTTATTAAGAATTAATAGATGACGAGATTGACACTCTGGTGTTCATGATAACATTGCTATCCTCACACTCAGGTCAGGCGAACTTTACTCTTACAATCTAGTCTTCACCTTTTGTAATATAAGTCTCCCAATGCTACCGAAACTCTTTAAACATTAAATATAGAACATCGTCATCTATTAAAATCATTATCACGTATTGATATTAAACGTGTTGTACAATTGTTAAAAAGAAGTAATGAAGTCACTTGAACAACACGATTTTTGTCTGTTAGTTTATGAGAATCAGCAAAAGAAAAGTTGATTGATCCAGCAAAATGAATAAATTCCACACGAAACTGATGTTATTCTTTTTTTGGATAATGGAACAAACTCATGTTATGAAGCTTGTATTCTATTATTTTAACATATCAGTTTTCCATGGCGTCAATATTTAATGTTTCATCATTTAGTATATGATAATCAATTAATGTTATATGGAGCCTCAATCAGTGAAATTCATGTACCAAGAGTGTTGAACTCGATTATAATTGTCTTGGTTATATAAAATATTTTGATATAAATAATAGAAATATACCGATCGATGATTGAATAATTCTGAAGTAATAACAGGTGACTGAAAATTTCGATAATATCATCTTCAGTTTTCATTGCTCAAACTTTTTTCTGAAAGATTGATCGTGCAATTCTCTATAAAAGGTCGCGTTGCAAAGCTCTGCAGGGAAAATCATGGCACCCAAAAACAGTACTTTTTTTTCAAACATTTTCTTCCACTAATTTTCTCTTTCTCAAGCAATAAATATATTTAATATCGACAAAGTAATTGTTCCATTTTTTAGCCCTTCCAACATTCTGTCTTTTATTGCTATCTCGAATCGTTTTTCCGCTTGGGTATATCTGGGGAAAATCTATTTCTTTTTAAACTTCACGAAGTTTTGCTTTGCAAAACTGTAGCATGACATCCTAAAGCCCATGCCTTTCTATCATAATATTGTTTTTGACTATTCACTTTTCGTTCTATCTTACTTAAGCAACGAAATTGATTTCTATCCAATTATTTGACTTGAAGTGTGTGCGTGGAAAAAACGTTCGGCTTCTCGGAAGCTTATACTGCACGAAATATCGTTTTTGGTGGACGTCATAATCTTTTTCAAGAAAGTTTTACTGGACACATTGATTACTACGCCGATCTGCATTGTCTTCGTAACTTTACCGCTTACAACACAGCACGATACATAAACAGGCCATACGTTTA